GTTTTTTTACTAGTAACATAAGTCCCTTAGAATTTTCTTATTTACTATTGTTTGTTAAAAATTAGCTGAATTGTACTTTCTGTGTCCATTTACTACCTCATATTTTTTTAAATCTATCATTGTATTACTTACTAAAATTAATAATTATTTTTTTACTAAAATTTCAATTTATCTTAACATTTTTGACATTTAATAACCTACTTGTCTAATTCCTTTTACCTGTTTTAAACCAATTTACAATTTAGAGTACTCTTAATTACCTTGTACTGCCAAAAACCTCTAGTATAACTACCAGTGCAAATTGAATGAAATAAACTTATTTTTTCACTTTTTTTTTTTATCATTATTACTTACTAAAATTTTATTAAAACCATATTTACCCCAGCAATTTTATTTTGTACTTTAAAAATTATTTTATACTTCCATAACTTTTGTTGCCAAATTTTCAATTTTGTATATTAACTCCAACCTTTTATTATCCTTTGTACCTGTGTCCGGGTGCACTTGTTACCTGTGTCCTGTGTACCTGTCAAACCATCTTACTATCATATTAAAACCCAAGACTTACCATTGTTTTTTTTTACTTTTATTTTTTTGGTATTTTAATTAAATTTTATTTTGTAAATTTAATCTAGTTATACCCCTGATCTTGTCAAAAACCTAACCAGACTTAGGAAATGCAAGTACCTTTCATTTTGTATTTTTTTTATAATTTTATATTAAAATTTCTACTCAATGTTTTATTTTTTTGTGACAAATTTTGTTGTCCCAATTGGTAAATTTCAATTATATTATTGTTCGGGGCCCTTTAACTATCTTTTGCTAACTATACCAACTCCTCAAATTTTTTTTTTTTTCTATTTTTTTTTTATTTTTTTTTGCCCCTTTAATTGTAATTTTTCTGCAATTTAAATCTATTTAAAACTCTAATTTCTTGTAAACAATTTTATAAACATTTAGTGCAATTACAATTGAGAGTCTTGTGCCTTTTTTAATTAGATTAAATATTGTATATGTAAATACCAAATTCATTATATTAGACCATATTGCAATTACTAGTGAGAGACTGGTGCTTTTTTTAATTTGTTTTTTTATTTTATTAGTTTAAAATCAGTTGTACTATAGCTATTCAGCTCAAAACAGGACTCCACAAAAGTCTTATATTAGACCTTAGTGCAATTCAATGAAGTTTTGTTCTATTTTAAATTTGTATTTTTTATTACTATTTTATACCTGTTGTACTTTAGTTCTTTCCAGCACAAAAAATAGACAACATCAACTTTATTATGGTAGTATGACTATCTCATATGACCAAAATACTCTAGCTATATACTTATCCAAGCTTCCCCCCAACTACAGATATCAGTTAAAACTCAACACATAACTCAGGATATAAATAACCATAATTTAAACCTAGAAGATAAATGTCACGTTACCCTGTTTAAAACCTCCAAAATCTGACACCCAATAAAAACCTACGGGAAAGTAACCCCTTTATTACACAGAAATCACAAGCCAGCACTATCCTAAACAATTTTAAAAGTCTATCAACTTAACTACAACATCAGTCCCTTTAACAAAAAACTTGATGCTCTCCTGGGACTCCCTTTAATCACTAAAGACCCCTTTCCCGCATTATTCTTCTGAACCGGCTTAAGCAGGACACAATAAAATCACCCTCTACCAGGATACACAGCAATTCCAACTGCAGACCAAACCAGTTGGGGTGGGTTTGCAATCATTACCTAACCAAAAATCTTGTATTAGCACCACTTTTTTAGTGAGAATATGGGGGAAAACATTTTTGCTTATTTTACTGTAAAAAACCTTAAGACACCTAAACAATCGGGGCCATTACCCTACCTCACACAAACATCCCCAAATTCAGGAGAAAATTAAAAACAAAATAACAAAAAAGACAAATGAATAAGCACCACCTTCTCTTGCTGAGATTACATCAACCTTGGCTTACTAATGAAAAGCCTGTAACTGATTTCACAAAAATATGAAAAAACACACTTCTCATCCAAAAACAACAAAAAACCAAAAAGGGTCACTGAGACAATACAACCAAATAACCCCATAAGGACCAATATACTAGCCCCCCTTAAATCAGGGATAATCACAGATAGCACTACAACCACTACCCATACCTCCTCCCGACCAAAAATTAATAAAAACCCCCATTTAAAACAACAAAGTCTCTTTAGACTCCATGACGAGGCCTCAATAAGGAAGTTTACAGTGACCTAGAGATTGTTGACTGGTTACAAATTCTCCCAAGGCCCAAGGTTTGATGACTGACAGACATTTTTTTTAACAAATTTTTTTAACTTACAACAAAATTGTCCTATAAAAAAAGAAACAGATCACAAACAAATGGCTTGGGTTTCCCATGCTAACCAGCACCCTTCTGAAATCCATTGACAAAAACACCAATAGAAAAGCAATATAGACAGGTTAAAAACACAAAGATATTCTTAAAAACTATTCATCAGTTTTTCCCCCAAATAATAAAAAACCAAACAACTATACTACTCCAGTAGATTTCCCGCACTAGAGGAAATAAAAAAAACCTGGAAAACACTCTCCAATTCTGGGACCCACAAACTGAAAAAAAACAAGAATATTTTTCCCAACTAAACCTAATGAAACCCATACATCCCATGACACAGCTAACAAGAAAACGCTTCTTCCAACCATAGGATCTAAACTCCCAATAAAACCCACATACTAATGCCCTCCGGGGGCACCCAATGGGAATTTCCCAAATTTCCCTTTACTTGCACCCCAACTGAGCCCTCGGTACAGAGATTATAAAGTCACTTAAAAACAACCGGGAATCTTCTAATGTCCCACCATTATGTACAAGCGAGGGCCCATATCCTTTCGCATGCTATTTCATTTCTTTTTAACAAGTCACTAAAATAGCACCTTCCGAAACTACCAAAAATGGGAAGGGGACACCAATACATAAAGGTGGTGACCCCACAGACTTAAACAACTATAGGCCAATACAAACTTACCATTTCTATCCAAAATCTTTTAGAAACTCGGCCAGGGACTATATTCATTTTTAAAAAGCACAAACATACTCAACCCCTGCCAATTTGGATTTTGGAAAAAAAAAGCACTAATGATCAATCATAAAAAAGCTAGATCTGCTTTACACACATTGGAAAATAAGGAAAATCCAAAGGAATTTTTTTTTGACCTAAGAAAAGCTTTTGACACAGAGACCCCGACATCCCACCCCCAAATTGACCATTATGGGATAGAGGTCATGCGCTGCTTATTTTAAATCTTTCCTTACTAATAGGTATCGATGTTACCTTAAAAACACAGACAACAACAGGCCACTTAACTGGAGTTCCCCAGGGGAAAATGTCCTTGGTCCCCCGTTTCCTCATATACATCAATGATCTTCAAACGTATCCCAACACCTGAAACCCATTCCTTTGCTGACGACACGACTTTTGTCATCTCCACCCAAACTTGCCACCCCCAAAACCATTGTTAACGGGGGGTGATCAAAAAACGACTTGGTGACAGCCAATAAACTTAGCTTAACACTGAAAAACCTACTATATTATGTTTGGTAGCAGAGCCGGAGATGCACAAATTAACATTAAGTCGACAACACTCTAATTACCCGACATAATGAGGGCAAAATTTTAGGGGCCCATACCTTGACAACAACTGAATTTCAGCACCCAAATCACAAAAACCCCCAAAAAAACCAAAACAGTTGGGATCCTCTCCAAGATACGATACATGTGCCGCAAAATCCCCTTTTCACACTATCACTCACTTATTTATCCCCTCCTCACCTATGTATTTGTGCTTGGGGATCAACTGCGCAAAACACCCAAAGCAAATAATACCCAACAAAAAACGAGTAAGAATAATCACAAATTCCTCCCGGGAACACCCCCCCCCCCCCCACTCTTCAAAGATCTAAACTTACTCCTGTTCATTTCATCCACACTTACTACGTGAATTACATCCAAAAGGGCCTTAAACTCCAATACAACCTTGACCTAAAACGCTTCTTGAAGTTGTGACAAACCCACAGGCATAACACCAAAAAAACATCTCTACGACATTCCCCATGTCCGACTAAACCTTTACAAAAATTCAAGTAGTCAAAGGCCCTAAAAATCTGGGAAAACCCTACCTGAGAACTCTAAACTGCAGACACATTCATCACCTTTAAAAAATACCATTAAAAACACTTCTCCCTATAAACCCCATCAACTAACTACACAATACCCCTGTGGGTTTAATTACACCACTCCCCATTTGACCATAAACAGAAATTTAATCTCAATCTTAAAAAAAATGAATCCATGAACCCAATACGAAACTTTGTCTGTGCCAAAACAAAAGCTTCACATTGCAAATCAAAACTATATTTAGTCACTTTGCCTAATACCAATTACCTCATAATTTGTAATATTTTTTAAAAAAAAGAATTAAACTAATCTGCCCGAAATGCCTACCATGCTAGGCGTTTAGTGGGAACTTGTAATCATTATTTAACTACAGTAAACCACACAACAACCAAATTTTTGTAAATTCAACTTGTAATTTTATAGGAATAAACTTTGAAATTTTAATTTGAATTGAACTCACTCTACTATCAGTAGTTTTTCCCAAAAATAGAGGGATGAAGTTGACCCTTAATGATCGGTGGCGGCAAATCTGCAACTTCGTACAGTCGCTTTTTTTTATTTTACTGTTTGTTTCTTTTTTCTTTTCCTTTTTTATTTTTTACTTTCCATAACATTTGTGGCCCGTGAGACCAATATAAAAGCATAAAGTAATATGTACCTTGCTGTATTTGGCCAATAGTGCACTAATTTTTTTCAAAATTATTTTTTTTAATAACTGTTACAACAAAAAACATCAAAAATGTTGTATCATTATAATGTTTTATTATAAATTTTTCATATTACAGCACTGGACATGTTCCTAGAATGCTACGTCTTTGGCTTTGAAAAAAGGTGCCATGCACAGTGGTGTCTTACTCATCTGTGGACTAGTATGACATGACATGAGGTACAAGCATTATTGTTGCCAAAAACAAATACATTTCAGCCACAGTCTTTTACTTCCACTGGTGGGTGACGATGCACTTTGTCCTGGAACTGCTGAGTCAGCGGCTTGGGTCCCAGACTCACTTCCAGTCTGGGCTGGTGCTGCATGCTGCACACACGCATTCTGGTGGAACCACCACCACTACCAACTACTGATGCATGCGGTCTATCCATCCTAACTGTAGCCACATTGTCACTTTCACTGTCTATTCCAAGTGTAGGGCCACAGGATGTACTCAATCCCCTTGGAATTGCATATGGTACAGAGTACCATATGCAAGTACCATATACAGAGTACCATATGGTACAAATACAGGGACCTCAGTGGAAATAAGTCACTGGCTTTTTTGGGTTATCCTAGGATCTTTACACATATGCTGCTATGTATGATGATCCATGTAACTGTATCTGTGTATACCTGAATAAACTTACTCAAGCGCATGTGGTGTCCTAAGTTTATTCAGGTAGTATACACAAATACAGTTACACAGATTATCATACATAGCAGCATATGTGTAGAGAACCTAGGATAACCCAAAAAAGTCAGACAAAGTGACTTATTTACATTAGGGTCCCTGTACCCCATACCATATGGTACAATGTACCATATGGTACAATATACCATATGATACACAGTACCATATGGTACACTGTACCATATGGTACCATTGTACAATATGTTACCATTGCACCATATGGTTCAAAACCATAGAATTCCTCTTCAGATCCACTTCCATCAGTGTTAGAGCTATAACTTGGGAAGAGGAGAGTCAGAAATCACTGGGGAGTGAGAGCCTCCTTGCCACCAGGCATGATGAACAAAGCATATTGAGATGGCGTTCCCACAGTGCAATGCGGGTGCCCTGGTATTTTGTTTACCGCACACAGTGATCATGCAGACCCATTCTCTTAGATGTAGGCCTACCAGCCTTATCACTCTAAATTTGAAGCAGCTAGAATTTTGGAGTAGATCTACAGCTTCGACCCTGGTTTCAAAGCCACAGATCTACAGGACAGACCCTGAAAGGGTTAAGACATATTTTTTGATACTGCATTCCATACTTTATTGTGTACACTAACTATATGAAGTAATTGTAAAATACAATATAACTAATATTTCTTTCTCATGATGTAACAATGCCCAGTGGCATCTGACCTCAGTAATCTTGATTTTTGTGCTACTACTCACAGGATGAGCATGGGTTGCACAACTAAACTAGCCTAACTTGAAAGCAAGCAACAAATACTGTACGGTATTAACCTAACTTTCCTAGCTACATGTACCCTTCCTTTTGAGTCTGAACCTCACTAGACTTGAGTTATTTCCCATAACATGTCCATAAACAATATTAGGTAAAATAAAAAAAAAAGTATTATTTTTGAAGAATTATGATACTATACAGCATTTGTTAGGGTTTTTGAAGGCTTGACAAATGCAACCTTGTTTTTCCCATATGTTTTTCATTCCACAAGTCTCAAAAATCGTTGTTAATGCAGGTTTCAGGAACATACATCATACCACAGGCAGGGATTGCAATCACGTCATTACGATTTTGTGAGTTTAGGAACATAACTTGCATGAATTATGAATGTCCACTGTACTACAGTACCCTAAAGCTAACAGCTTTAATTTATCTCCCAACAGTTATGATCAAGATTGTTATTACTATACAGCAAGATAAAAATGGCATTACTTTAACTTCTGCCTGAAACACTGTGCATCCTACAGGTTTTACAGCCAGCATCATTGCCAATAAACAATTATTAGTGTATTATCATCATGAACTGTATTAATTGAAATTCAACTGTAATGCACTGGATGGAAATTCATTTAAACTGTTGTTTAAGCATGTCCTATTCAACTGTCCTTGCTCAACTATCTGCTAATTAAAACCACTGCCATGCTTTTAGTAAAATGGACAAAGTGATGAAAGCTGTTTTAGGTTCAATATCTTTAGAAGTACAAGAATGTACAATGAAGTACTGTACAGTAGAAAAAAAAAAAAGAAAAAACTCACCACCATCATCATGCAATTGAAGAGCACAGGCATTGAGAAAACAACACTGATGAACAATCCCTGGGAGTCAAAGTACTGCTGCCGACTGAACGACTGCCAGTTCTTAGCTGCATATTGATTTATGGTCTCTGAGGAGCGAACTGTCAGGAGCAGTAGGAAGAAAAGGACAGCTTGTGTGGTATGATGATTACGAGTCATTACTGTGAATGTAGTGAGAAAAATGTGGAATACAACAAGCCCAACCAACCATCCTTCACTCCAGTCAATCTGTTAAAAAGAAAATGGAACACTGAATAATTAAAAATCATACATCAATACAAATTATACCGCATTAGTAACAAAATATAGCACTGTACAATTCAACAAATTAAAATATACATGTACAACCAATTTGTGAAGACTAGTTATAGAAACAAAAATATTGTGTACTGCGGGAAGTTAAATTTGTAGTGCCCACTATAGGTGGCCAGTCACCAAACACTAACTACATCAGCAGTGACGCAAAAATGAAAACACACATTATCAATCAGTGTCTTGCCAGAAGTGGGCGAGTATCAGAGTTCAACGACCTTAATTGCAATATTCCAACCCTTTCTTAGAGTACAGGAGGGCCCCACTTTATGGTGCTTTGCTTTACAGTGATTCACTAACACAGACATTTCAAATTATACCCAAAAATTAGTTTATAAGGCTCATGATTCATTAGTTTGGCATCTGCATGCCACCTGTTCACTCTCAGTTTGTTTACATCCTTCGTGAACTCCACATCTCGATTATGTCTCTAAACTTTCCAAACTTTCAAGTATTTTAAAGTTATTGCATATTTTATATATACTCTGTGTTACAATGACATCTAAGGATATTTGTGATAAAAAGGAGTTGTCAGGCACTTACCTTAAGTGCAAAGTTAGAAATTATTAAACTCAGTGAGCAAGGCACAGTGGAACCTCGGTTTTCATTATTAATCAGTTCTAAAATGTCTGACGAAAACCGAATCGTACGAAAACTGAAGCAATATTTCCCATAAGAAGTAATGTAAATACAATTAATCCGTTCCAGACCCCCAAAAGTATTAACAAAAAATACATTTTAAAGAGAATAACTATAGTTTTACATACAAAAAACAATGAGAAATGAATATAAATGGCTAATGAAATGGATAAATGAATATTTAACATCAGTTTTACCTCTACTGAAGACTCTTGTTGGCATATGGAACACAGTGAGGAGGGGAGAGGGAGGAGGAGAGGTTACTGTTTGGAAGGGGAATTCCCTTCCATAAGGACTACAGGTATCATGGCCCAATCCAGGGTTACTTCCCTTCTTTGTCTTTTACTGGCACTAGAACCAGCTTGAGAGTCACTGTATCCCTGTCGCACAAAAAATCTGTCCAGAGAGGTCTGTTTCTGGTGTCTCTAAGATTTGCCTCTGAAACACTATCTCCCGCTAACTCTTTTTCTTTGATCCACACCAATAACAACTTTTCAACATCTTTGATTGTTTGTAATCTCTGTTTTCGCAACATCAGCTTCCTTGATTTCTTTATTCTTCGCCAGGAAGGAACTGATCATTGATGTGGACTTCCCGTACATCCTGGCAAGATTGGCCACGCATACGCCACTTTCGTACTTTGCTACAGGTTCTTTCTTGAATTCTATCGTGTTTCTCGCCTTCTTCACCAAAGGGCTGGCACTCAGAAATTTCTTTGGCCCCATGGTGGCTTATTCAGCAGTTGCACTCAATAAACAAGCACAAAAAACAGTGGATCATTACGAAATGTTTCGGAGGAACGTGTGGGGTGATGCTCAATCAACGAGAAAGAAAGGTAGACTGAGTCACGAACGCATGGGATGCCTTGTGTGGGTGCTTGAGTGGTTGAGTCACGTGGATGAGTTTGGTACGGACCATTTTCAACTCTATGCAAACTAAGAGGATGTATGAAAACTGGGACAAAATTTTGACGAAAAAAGTTGTCGAAAACCGAATCCTACGAAAACTGGGGCATACAAAAACTGAGGTTCCACTGTATGTTGATGGCTGAGATATAATTGAGATACTATAGATAATTTTATATACATGTATGTGTAACTGTACCTATAATATACTTACTATGCTGGCATGCAGGTACAATAAAATCATTTGGAATTGTTGCAAAGTAGGAGTAGCCATGCTAGGCGAGGGAGTAGCTAAGAGTGTCTCACTAGTGTTGAAGATACAATAAGCCTAATAATAATAATAATAATAATAATAATAATAATATAATAATAATAATAATAATAATAATAATAATAATAATAATAAAAAGAGAAGAAGAAAAACTTTATAAAACTGGAATGCTTGAATGTGCGTGGATGTAGTGCGGATGACAAGAAACAGATGATTGCCAATGTTATGAATGAAAAGAAGTTGGATGTCCTGGCTCTAAGCGAAACAAAGCTGAAAGGGGTAGGGGAGTTTTTTCGGTGGGGGGAAATAAATGGGATTAAATCTGGAGTATCTGAGAGAGTTAGAGCTAAGGAAGGGGTAGAAGTAATGTTGAAGGATTTGTTATAAAAGGAGAAAAGAGAATATGAATGTGTAAATTCAAGAATTATGTGGATTAAAGTAAAGGTTGGATGCAAAAAGTGGGTCATAATAAGCATGTATGCACCTGGAGAAGAGAGGAATGTAGAGGAGAGAGAGAGATTTTGGGAGATGTTAAGTGAATGTATAGGAACCTTTGAACCAAGTGAGTAATTGTGGTAGGGGACCTGAATGCTAAAGTAGGAGAAACTTTTAGAGAGGGTGTGGTAGGTAAATTTGGGGTGCCAGGTGTAAATGATAATGGGAGCCCTTTGATTGAACTTTGTATAGAAAGGGGTTTAGTTATAGGTAATACATATTTTAAGAAAAAGAGGATAAATAAGTATAGACTTCAGGATGAATACGTTTATAGAGGGGCTACAGATATATCAGATCACTTCTTAGTTGTAGCTACACCGAGAGTAAAAGGTAGATGGGATACAAGGAGAATAGAAGCATCAGGGAAGAGAGAGGTGAAGGTTTATAAACTAAAAGAGGAGGCAGTTAGGGTAAGATATAAACAGCTATTGGAGGATAGATGGGCTAATGAGAGCATAGGCAATGGGGTCGAAGAGGTATGGGGTAGGTTTAAAAATGTAGTGTTAGTGTGTTCAGCAGAAGTTTGTGGTTACAGGAAAATGGGTGCGGGAGGGAAGAGGAGCGATTGGTGGAATGATGATGTAAAGAGAGTAGTAAGGGAGAAAAAGTTAGCATATGAGAAGTTTTTACAAAGTAGAAGTGATGCAAGGAGGGAAGAGTATATGGAGAAAAAGAGAGAGGTTAAGAGAGTGGTGAAGCAATGTAAAAAGAGAGCAAATGAGAGAGTGGGTGAGATGTTATCAACAAATTTTGTTGAAAATAAGAAAAAGTTTTGGAGTGAGATTAACAAGTTAAGGAAGCCTAGAGAACAAATGGATTTGTCAGTTAAAAATAGGAGAGGAGAGTTATTAAATGGAGAGTTAGAGGTATTGGGAAGATGGAAGGAATATTTTGAGGAATAGTTAAACGTTGATGAAGATAGGGAAGCTGTGATTTCGTGAATAGGGCAAGGAGGAATAACATCTTGTAGGAGTGAGGAAGAGCCAGTTGTGAGTGTGGGGGAAGTTCATGAGGCAGTGGGTAGAATGAAAGGGGGTAAGGCAGCCGGGATTGATGGGATAAAGACAGAAACGTTAAAAGCAAGTGGGGATATACTTTTGGAGTGGTTGGTGCAATTATTTAATAAATGTATGGAAGAGGGTAAGGTACCTAGGGATTGGCAGAGAGCAGGCATAGTTCCTTTGTATAAAGGCAAAGGAGACAAAAGAGAGTGCAAAAATTATAGGGGGATAAGTCTGTTGAGTATACCTGGGAAAGTGTATGGTAGAGATATTATTGAAAGAATTAAGAGTAAGAGGGAGAATAGGATAGAAGATGAACAAGGAGGCTTTAGGAAAGGTAGGGGGTGTGTGGACCAGGTGTTTACAGTGAAACATATATGTGAACAGTATTTAGATAAGGTAAAGAGGTTTTTGTGGCATTTATGGATTTGGAAAAGGCATATGACAGGGTGGATAGGGGGGCAATGTGGCAGATGTTGCAGGTGTATGGTGTAGGAGGTAGGTTACTGAAAGCAGTGAAGAGTTTTTACGAGGACAGTGAGGCTCAAGTTAGAGTAAGTAGGAAAGAGGTTGATTATTTCCCAGTAAAAGTAGGCCTTAGACAAGGATGTCACGGTGGTTGTTTAATACAGTATATTTATAGATGGGGTTGTAAGAGAAGTAAATGCGAGGGTCTTGGCAAGAGGCGTGGAGTTAAAAGATAAAGAATCACACAAAGTGGGAGGTGTCACAGTTGCTCTTTGCTGATGACACTGTGCTCTTGGGAGATTCTGAAGAGAAGTTGCAGAGGTTGGTGGATGAATTCGGTAGGGTATGCAAAAGAAGAAAATTAAAAGTGAATACAGGAAAGAGTAAGGTTATGAGGATAAGAAAAAGATTAGGTGATGAAAAGATTGGATATCAGATTGGAGGGAGAGAGTATGGAAGAGGTGAATGTATTCAGATATTTGGGAGTGGACGTGTCAACGGATGGGTCTATGAAAGATGAGGTGAATCACAGAATTGATGAGGGGAAAAGGGCGAGCGGTGCACTTACGAGTCTGTGGAGACAAAGAACTTTGTCCTTGGAGGCAAAGAGGGGAATGTATGAGAGTATAGTTTTACCAACACTCTTATATGGGTGTGAAGCATGGGTGATGAATGTTGCAGCGAGGAGAAGGCTGGAGGCAGTGGAGATGTCATGTCTGAGGGCAACGTGTGGTGTGAATATAATGCAGAGAATTTGTAGTTTGAAAGTTAGGAGGAGGTGCGGGATTACAAAAACTGTTGTCCAGAGGGCTGAAGAAGGGTTGTTGAGGTGGATCGGACATGTAGAATGGAGAATGGAGCAAAACAGAATGACTTCAAGAGTGTATCAGTCTGTAGTGGAAGGAAGGCGGGGTAGGGGTTGGCCTAGGAAAGGTTGGAGGGAGGGGGTAAAGGAGGTTTTGTGTGCGAGGGGCTTGGACTTCCAGCAGGCATGCGTGAGCGTGTTTGATAGGAGTGAATGGAGACAAATGGTTTTTAATACTTGACGTGCTGTTGGAGTGTGAGCAACGTAACATTTATGAAGGGATTCAGGGAAACAGGCAGGCCGGACTTGAGTTCTGGAGATGAGAAGTATAGTGCCTACACTCTGAAGGAGGGGTGTTAATGTTGCAGTTTAAAAACTGTAGTGTAAAAGCACCCTTCTGGCAAGACAGTGATGGAGTGAATGATGGTGAAAGTTTTTCTTTTTAGGGCCACCCTGCCTTGATGGGAATCGGCCAGTGTGTTAATAAAAAAAAAAATAATAATAATAATAATAATAATAATAATAATAATAATAATAATAATAATAATAATAGCTCTGAGGCACTTTAAATGTTGTATATTACATTATTATACACATTTTCATTAGTCCATCAATGACATTTTTTCAAAATTATATAAGAAACACGCTACTTATCATATAAGCAAAATACACACAATCACAGTAAAACAAATTAACATAATTGTCAGGTGTGGTAGCCAGGCATGCATAAACGAGCGTACAACATTAATTACTATAACACATTTTCTCTAGTACACCATGCCTGGAGTATACCTGGAGAGGGTTTCAGGAGTCAACACACTCATGGCCTCGCTGTGAATCAGGGCCTGATCAACCAAGCTGTTACTGCTGGCCACACACAAACTGACGTATGAACCACAGCCCGGCTGATCAGATACTGACTTTAGGTGCCTGTCCAGTGCCTTCTTGAAGACATCCAGTGGTCTATTGGTAATCCCTCTTATGTATGCTGGGAGCCAGTTAAACAGTCTTGGGCCCCAGACATTTATTGTGTCCTCTCTTAGCATACTTGTGGCACCCCTGCTTTTTATTAGGGGGATGTTGCATCTCCTGCTGAGTCTTTTGCTTTCATAGGAAGTGATTTTTGTGTGCAAATTTGGTACTGATCCCCCTGGGATTTTCCAAAAGTATATTATCAAGTATCTTTCTCACCTGTGTTCCAGGGACTACAACTCAGAGAACTTCAACTATTCCCAGTAATTTAGGTGCTTTATTATATTTGTGCATGCCATGAAGGTTCTCTGTACATTCTCCAGGTCAGCAATTTCACCTGCTTTAAAAGGGACTGTTAGTATGCAGCAATTTTCCAGCCGAGAGAGAACAAGTGATTTGAAGAGAATCATCATGGGCCTGGCATCCCTATTTTTGAAGGTTCTCACTGTCCATCCTATCATTCTTCTAGCAGATGAGGTAAATATGTTGTTGTGGTCTTTGAAAATAAGATCCTCTGATATTATCACTCGCAGGCCCTTCACATTGGCTTTTTTCTTTACTGTGTGGTTGGAATTTGTTTTATACTCCAATACAGTTTTAATTTCCTCAAGTTTTCCATATCGGATATGAGGATGAGGAACAGGATGGGAAAAAACTTTTCACTGTAGCTGCCTCTGTTTACTATCACTCTGCATTCTATTTGTTAGGAAGTTATAGATCCTTCCTTTATCATGCATTCTGTACTCTATTACACCATGGTCACACTTGCCAAAGGCTTTTACGAAGTCTGTGTATACTACATCTGCATTTTGTTTGACCACTTGAGCATCCAAGAACTTGTCATAGTGGTCCAGTAGCTGGAACCGGCAGGAGTGGCCTGCTCTAAACCCATGTTGCCCTGGGTTGTGTAACAGATGGGTATCTAGGTAGGTGGCAATCTTCCTTCTTAGAACCCTTTCGAAGATTTTTATGACATGGGATGTTAGCACTATCAGTCTGTAGTTCTCTGCAACTGCTTTACTGCCACCTTTGTGGAGTGGGGCTATGTTTGTTGCTTTTAGTGATTGTGGAATGACCCGTGCGTCCTTGTGAAAGGCATGTGAAAGGGGCTTCCTGCAGTTCTTGATGAATGCGGAGTTCCACGAGTCTGGACCTGGGGCAGAGTGCATAGGCATGTTATTTATTGCCTTTTCAAAGTCTTGTGGTGCTAGGATAATATCAGAGATTTTTTAATTGACTAAATTTCAAGTCTTGGTCAGAATTGGAGGATAACTAGTAGAAAAACATTCCTTTCATATGCCTTCACTCATAAATAGCATCACTCGCTCTTAAAAAGGTGTGTTGCATGAGAATGTGAATGTTGCAGTTATGTATTCTACTGCAGCAACATGAAGACAATTGAACACTATGTAAGGTGTTTGTAATGTGGGGAAAATGCTTCACAATCATATGCATAATGCCAGCTGAACATGTATCAACGGCCAGTGGACAGGTATGAATATGTATCCATCCAACCACCCACCCAAAACACCGACACCATAATACACATTTATGGAGCACACCCAAGAGTGTTTTATAATAATACTAATACCACTACTACTACTAATAATTATAATCTTTATTTTTACAAGTGAAATCAGGTGTTGCTGTGAGCTCTGCATCTCTCTTGGTTCCATCTGAAAAACTTTCCAAAGTTACGAGTGTTTTAATGTTATGTCAAAAGACTTACTTTAAATGAACTCTAAGTAGAAAGTGTTCCAGGAAACAAAGTGATACATCAGTGAATACCTGGAGTATACCTAGAGGGGGTTTCAGGAGTATTGCCCCCAGGGCCTAGTCCATGACCAGGCCTTGTGATGGATCATCAACCAGGCTGTTACTGCTGGCCGCACATAAACTGACCTATGAACGGTAGCCCAGCTGGTCAGGTACTGACTTTAGGTGCCTGTCCAGCATGATACCATGCCTTCAAGCTGAGCAATTATCCAGTCCAAGGCCTTAAGTTAACTCTTCAACTTTATGTAGGCTGAGAAAGGCGAAGTTGCTGAAGATAAATTTGAAGCTAGCAGAGGCTGGTTTCATCTCCTGACATCCTACAATAAATATTACTCACCTCTCACCCTACATTAAGGCCAAAAATATTTTAAGTAATGAGTGTACTGTATATGCATTTTACTTTTTGTTGTTGTTTTTTAGGCCTAGTTTTATTGCTAACTTAATATATGATAGTGTAAACATGTTATCAGGCATTTATATGCATTTAAAAGTGAAAAAATGGTGATTCACTTTATGGCAGTAGCCTGGAACCTAACCTGCCATATAAGTGAGGCCCTCCTGTACAGGCACTGTACTTGCCACTTCCATGACCATTAGCTAAGTAGCAAGCCAGTTTCTTTATAACCCTTCATTAATGTTACGTGCCCACATTAAAAGTAGGTTTTCTTTTTGTCTCTCAACTGAAAAAGTCTTACACTTTGGCTCACACTTAAAATTCACTGATGCATTACCACAAAGTAGCAAGCTGAAGCAATACTTTGCTGCCATGAATCCTGATACAACTTTTTCTTGCCGGCTGATGCAAGTTCTCACTGGCATCATCTTCCAATAAAGACTTGTTTCGTCAGCAAATAAACACTTGCTGTGGCTCACATATACCCTCAGAAATAATTTCCTGTAATTCAGCAAGGAAATTCCCTGCAGCTGTGTAGTCAATAGAAGCACTGTCACTAAAAAAATTAATATTATGTAACCAACTGCACAATCTGACTTGTGGAACTGGCCTGTACTAAACAAACATTCTGTTCAGGTCTTCCCCATCTCACAACATTTTATAGTACTTTAAGGCCTTTTTTCTTATCTAGATTTAAGTGGTTTTTCTGCTCAATCTACTCACTCAATAATTTTTCTATCATATTTAGCTGTTGTGACCTATTTGTTATTCTTTTCAGGTCACAACCTGGATTACTCATTTCACAAGCTTGTATCTTCACCTCGTAGACTCACATGGTGTCCTCCACACCTACACCACTTTCAAGCTTATCTAGGATTTCAATGTTTCTTCATAACACCAAAACTTTCAAGCTTATGCTTCTTTGCACTTCTAGGATCACTTGCATTCCTCTTGGGTACCATGGTTACTATCCCGAGACAAGAAAGGGTGATGAGAAAATCAAAGATTGATTCACTAACACAGGCCAAGCATAGTATTGGATGTGTAAGGATGGAGCACTGAGATGGGGGAGGCTGTATGCATCATGCAGGCCTCTCCATAAGACAAATGACTTGCCTATAGGCCTACTGTAGGACAGGGGAAAGAACCCAGTGAGTGCCACATTTTCCCATATATGTACTCTGCCATATAAACTAATTAATAGTGTGTTCACTGAAAATATGCTTCGATTTTGCAAGTGACAGTGTGGGAAAGTCTACTAAACATCTGAAACCTATCTCATGCTTAACATAAATTATTTTGCTAATTTTATCTCAACCACTTATGATCAGAATAACTTACTCATGCTATGCTGTACAATGCCTAAAATTATATGCTAGGACTAGAATTAAATGATGCAGTAAAACCTGTTATTAACGGACTTCTCGTTAATGGATTTTGTCAATTTCAGACAAAAAACAAAACTGACCAAATATTATTGGACAAAATGGACAAAAGTCTACAATTCTACATTTTGCCCATAGCAATATTGTCCGGTAGTCTTCTGATGCATCAGGCCAAGTCTGCTAATTGACATTTATCTGGTATGAGCCAAAGCGGCTACATCCAGGACCTGTCCATATTTACTGTTTTCCAAGCTGTAAATCACCCACACCAGCTTCTAGTTTGTGCTCACTCATCTATACACCCATTAGTCAATCTCTAATTTTCCATGGATTTAAAACATTTTATGTGACATTATTGTACACTTGACCATTACAGTGGAACCTCAAATATCAAACTGCTCCCTACTCAACCAATTATGTAAGTGTATTTTTGTAAGTGCTTTTATAAGTGTATTTTTCAGGGTCTGAAATGAACTAATCTAACTTACATTATTCCTGATGGTAATAAATTTGTTTGGTAACGGCACACGAACAGCTGTCTGGAACAAAGAAAGTTCGATATTTGAGGTTCTACTATATATTACACCATTTTACTTGGCATATTTTGGTTATTGCACTATTGAAAAATTGTGGCACAACTTTATACAACACTTCGTAAAATTAACCCCTTCAGGGTCAAGGCCAAAATCTGAAGTGGTGCTCCAGTGTCCAAGAAATTTTGAAAAAAAAAAAAAATATATATATATATACAGTGGACCCCCGCATAACGATTACCTCCGAATGCGACCAATTATGTAAGTGTATTTATGTAAGTGCGTTTGTACGTGTATGTTTGGGGGTCTGAAATGGACTAATCTACTTCACAATATTTCTTATGGGAACAAATTCGGTCAGTACTGGCACCTGAACATACTTCTGGAGTGAAAAAAAATCGTTAACCGGGAGTCCACTGTATATATATTTTCTTACAAAGACAAAAAAAAAAATTCTGATCAGTAGTTGCCGAGATACAGTACCGAGAAGTTTGTCCAAAATGACCTGGTGGTGGCAACATCGACGATTTCCACATACGTGCATTACTTTATTTAGCAGTTTTTGTAGTTTTTCTTTTCTTTTCCAATTTTTTTCTTTTCCTACTAACATTTGGGGCCTGAGAGACCAATACTGTATATAATGTATATATATATAAACTCACTGTATCGAACACAATAACTGCACTAAAGTTATTATCATATTATTGTTTACCACTGTTGTTTATTACAATAAACATGCACAAATCTTGTATAATACTAATGTTCTATCATATATTTACATATTTACAATCACTGGACATGGTTTTAGAACTGCTGGAGCTTGTGGAACTCCTTGAAACAAGGCACCATGCACAGAGGTGCCTTACATTCCTCACACATAAACCGAGTGTCTTTGCGTCTTTGTTGCCGTCGTTTTGTTTGTGCACAGATGATGCATCTCTTCTGAGCAAATTTCTTCTGAGTTGAAGGAAGCTGTATTATGAAATGATCACCTTCCCTCCTCAAACGCTTGGGTATATCCTGAGGAGTTCAAGGACCTTGTTGTATAGGAGGTGTTGTTACCTGGTACTGTACTTCATTATGAGTTGTCTGACAACAGACAAACAAAATTCACCATATGGTGGTCTGTTGCCAGTCTTCATTTGGTACATATTATATTCATTGAGCATTGAAATGTCCATGAGATGGAAGAAAAGTTTCATGTACCACTTGTAACTTTTACGAACACAATCAACAAAGCAAATCTGCATGTCACATTTGTCAACCAAGCGCATGTTTTGTGTATAATCAATCATTGTCACTGGTTTTCGAATACGTTCCTTAGTCACTTGATAAACTTTGCCACTGTCTTGCATTTCATTACGGTGAATGGATGTCAACAATGTGACATCTCGTTTGTCATGCCACCGTAATGCCATGATGTCATTGACAGTAAACACCTGCACGTCATCACCACGAGCACCTGCATTGAGCCTGGGCATATGTTTACGATTAGAACGCATTGTGCCACACACATCTGTCTTGTTCACTCGCAAGAAATCACTGAGTAATGGGCTTGTGTACCAGTTATCGGTATATAATGTATGCCCCTTACCAAGATAAGGTGCCATCATGCTTCTCACTACGTCACCTGAGATACCCAATAACATCTTGGTATCTTTCAATGTTTTACTTCACGTGTATACAACAATATCCAATACCAGGCCACTGTCACAGTCACAGAGTACAAACAGTTTTATACCAAAGCTTTTCCTCTTGCTCGGTATATACTGCTTGAATGACAGCCTACCTTTGAACAAAATCAAAGACTCGTCAATTACAAGATTCTTGAATGGATAAAAGTATATGCTGAACTTTTGTTTGAGATACATAAAAACATTTCTAATCTTGTATAACCTGTCACTTCTGTCAGGCCTGGTTTTGTCAGAGAAGTGCAACATACATAACAGTAAGATAAACCTGTTCACTGGGATGATTTCACTGAAGACCGGGGTAGAAATTAGCCGATCTGTGGACCAGTATGCTTTTATATTATGCTTATAGACATGAGGCATAAGCATTATTGTTGCAAAAAGCAAATACATTTCTGTAACAGTCGTCTCTTTCCACCGGTGTAGTCTTGACTGTGGTGATAAGATCGTATTTGCCATGGTGTACTCAAAATACTTATTACTTTCCCTGACAATAGTTTCCATCAATGGCTGATCAAAGAATAATTCAAAGAATTCCAGTTCATTGGCCGTGGTTCCAAGGGGACAAGTAGGTAGAATTCCTTTGAGAGTCATCAAAGTGGTGGGGCTTGGGAACAAAATTGGGATTTTGCTGCCAATCCCAGATACGGTTTGCTGGTGGATACTGGACATCATAGGCTGGTTGTGCGGGTAGTTGTGGTTGTGGTGGGCTGGTGGCTGACGCAACGCTTTGTCCTTGAACTGACGAGTCAGCAGCGTGGGTCCCAGCCTGGGCTGGTGAGTCACGCATGGCTGTGCCACTACCATCACCACTACCACCATCTGCTGATGCCTGTGGTCTATCCATGCCAAGTGTAGCCACATCATCCTCACTATCACTATCTACACCTGGTGTAGGACCACGGGATGTACTCCGGGATGTACTCCGTCCCCTGGGCACAGCATAGGGTACACTACCCGAGCGCATGCGGCGGCGTACATACCGACGCTTCACTGGTGAATATGATTCCTCACTATCACTACTCAAATGATCGTCAAGAGCAATAAAATCACAATCCACGTCACTATCATCATCATTACTGAAGTCAGAGGCCTGGCCACGCGAAAATAATAGTTTTCTCTTGCATTGAGGTACAACTGACCGTGACTGAGGAGTGTCCACACCAGAGGTAGAAGGCTGAGGATCGTCAGGGTTTTCTGCACTATTATCGATATCCTGGTCATTCCTTTTGGTCACTAACTGATCAAAGCCAAAGAATTCGTCTTCATTTCCACTTCCATCAGTGTCAGAACTATCAGATAGGAAGAGGAGTCTCAATTTTCCGTGGAGTGAGAGCTGCCTTGCGACGAGGCATGGTAAACAAGGGTAACTGAGCCGGCGTTCCCACAATGCTATGCGGGTGCCTAGATTTTTTGTTTATGGCGCACACCCACCACACAGACCCATTCTCTCACATGTAGGCCTATGAGCGCTTTTGCACTAAATTTGACGGCGCTAGAATTTTGGCATAGATCTACGGTTTGGACACACAACGTGAAGCCGTAGATCTATGGGACGGACCCTGAAAGGGTTAACTTAACACAGTTCGGTTTGCAGGAGGGGAAAACATTTGGAGTGTCACTCTAAGAATCCTTATGCTTTGAAAGATGTAGATAAAACACCTTACCAGTAATTTGGAGGTCAAACCAGTCAGCATGGATGACAGAGGAAATATTTATTAACTTTTTTAAGCATCATTTTATTCCTGAAGTCAAGTTTTACCTGCACAGCAAGAACCTTGCATTCAAGGCTATCTTCATTCTTGATAATTCCCATACTCATCCACAAGCTTTGCTGGATGTGACCCCACATGTAAAAGTTGTATTTTTACCTCCAAATACAACATCTTTAATACAACCAATAGATTGGAGAGTTATTAAGTCATTCAAGTGTAACTACACAGAAAAAGTTGTGAAAAACTAGTTGCATCAATGGACTCTGATTCCAACTTGGCAGTACCAAGCTTCTTTAATAAATTTAACATTGCAGATGCTATCAGCTATGCTAGAAGTGCATGGAATGAAGTTCCCCAATCAACATTAAATGTAATAATGTTGGTAGAATTACCGACAATATTTAAAGTAAAAGGACACAAGTGCAACTAATGTGACATTTTTATTGTGGCAACGTTTCGCTTTCCAGGAGCTTTGTCAAGCCGTTACACTCCTGGAAAGCGAAACGTTGCCACAATAAAAATGTCACATTAGTTGCACTTGTGTCCTTTTACTTTACATACAACATTAAATGCAGGCTGGGGAAAGCTATGGCCTTCTGTAGTTAGGTCTTTTCCCTTGCTTGAGAGTCAGGTTCTGGAAATTGTTCAGCTGGCAAGAAGAGTACCAGGTGATGGTTTTGAAGATGTGAATGAAGATGTGAATGAGCTTTTAGATGATGATGATGAAGACAGGAGTCCAGCGGAAATGTTGGCAGAGCTTGATGCACAGATACAAGGGAGCCACATGACACAAGATGAAGAACCTGAAGAAAAACAGTTAACACTGCAGCGGTTATGTGAGCAGTTCCATGTTGCTGCTAAACTAGCAGACTTTTTTGCACTGAAGAGGACCTGACAAATCTAGAAGCAGTGCTTTGAAATGGGGTCTAGACCAGCTGATGATGCCTTACCATCAGCTGTGTAATGTTGTGTAGGGTAAAAGAGCCCAGAGATCCATTACAGAACTTATGCACACACTAGTACAACCATCAACTTTAATACCAGAACCACGACCATCCACATCTGCCGACAACCAACAACCATCCACCTCAGCCCAAGAGGGCCAAACCATGCCTCTGTTGCCTTCACAATCACTGACATACACCAGCAACCACAATTTAAGGTAAGAAATATTATTATTGTATTTCTGTCGAGACCCCTGCTCACAAACTTGCTCTCAGTGTCAAAGAATTAAAAAAAAAATGATTTTTTATGAAATGATAGAGAATTTTTTCCCGATGGTAATGACACCAAAAGTATGAAATTTGATTGAAAACGTACAGAATTATGCTCTCTCAAAGTTAGCAACCTCTGCAATATTTACGCATTGGCGATTTCACCCACTTTGAGCCATATTTTCAGCCAATTCCATTGTTCCAGTCAACCAAACTCATAGCTATTCTTTAGAACTCCATTTGTTCTATTGATTGAGTACAAGAAACCGTCCAGATATTACATAAAATATCTGGGAATAAACCAAATATTGATTGATACCTTTATTATACCTCATACCCATCCTGCGGGCAGTACTCAAAACATTACAAGTTAGGTACAGGTCCGC